CAAGCCCTAGAACAAAAGAATATGCTTATTTTCTTAAAATTATAAGTGAGTACTCTAGTGTAACATATCTATACTATGCACATAAATTTACATTGTCTCTTTTGATCACATATGATGACTTTTTGTTCACATCGTATCTCAACAGTAAGTTTACGTATTAGTCTCTTTGTTTCATAACGCAACTGATGGATTATTAGCATTTCATCTGGAGTGTGATTATCACTTTTCATGAATCGAAGAATCATTTGTTTATTGTTCTCAATTGCTTTTTCCAATTTCACATGGACGACTGTTTTATTTGTTATGGAAACTTTATCAGCATGAGCTATTTGAAAAAGATAAAAATATCAAATTGTACTCTGCAAATAAAGAAACATACATTGCGGTAACTTATATGCATGATCAGCAAGAAGTACTGCTATAGCTGTCAAGTTATCAGATCGATTTGTAGTTAGTCGAAGAAATTGTTCTCGAAATTGACGTCGAGTAGATGATTTTATTTGACCTTTTAGAACTTCAAATTGAGCAAGAAGACTTAACATTTGATTTTTGATATCATCGATAGATTTTGTAATGTCATTATTATTTAATTGCGTTTTTATAGAATTTAATATTATGAAGATGCTTTTTTTGTCTATCGAAGAATTATTGATTAACCTTTATAAAAAAAAGAAATTTGAATGCTGTTATAAAATGAAAATACTATAAATGCATAACCTACCACTTTCGCCATTCTCTTTGTTGATCAAAATTTTTTATTGGATGCCACCAATTATTTGGTCTTGCTTGTATCTGTTCAAATGTATATTTGTTTCGATAAATTATTGTATCTAATTCCAATGGAGTTACAACTTTCATATTATTATCTTGAATAGATAATGTATGAAATAAGAATTCAATAAATATTAGATGGCCTCTCCATTGTACATATTCATTGACAGCTAATAATAATCGACGACTACAACCTATAGCACATACCATTCCATGAGCCCATGGAAGAACAAATGTTCCAGGTGCCAAATACCAATGATACCAACTAGTTAAATTCCCGTTGATGTTATATTCAATATCAGCAGTAACAAGATCATAGGATGAAGAATAAAGTTCATGTAAAGAAAGAAATGCTTGAATTGAAGGAATAAAAACATCTTCTTCAACAAACCACACAAACGAATGATGATTAGAATGTCTTGAAAAGTAATAAAGTGCTTTATCCCATGCTGAACAAATTTTGCCAGAGCCAAAAACATTAGCTTGTTGAAAACCATATTTTGTACAAATAGTTTCATTGAATTGAAGAAATTGAACTGTAGATGATAATATCGGTAGAGTAATGACTGTATTATTGTCAACAATAATAAATACATTTATAGATGATATATTTTGTGCTAATTCAAGAGCAAATTCAACTGTTTCGGAAGAAGGTTGTCGAGTGAGAAAACAAAGAGCCGAACGTGAATGTGAAGAATAAATTGTGTTTATAATTGGTGATATAATGAAAAATATATTGATTAATTTATAGTAAATCAATGTAAAAATATTCCGATACATGTGTAAAATAAATCTTTCAGCATCGATTGTAAAGATCAGCTGACGCATATCGATATTATTTATATTTCAGCTGTTGCACATTGTAAGAAAAACATAATGATCAAGAAACTTGATACGGTAAAAAGATAAACACATGCTGATGAGACTGTAAAGTTATTTGTATTATAAATATAAGTATGAAAAGTTCAGCAAGCAGAAATTTCAAAAGTACAACATAGATGACAAATCAAAAATGTTCACTCATAAAAACCGATCGAATGCATTAATAAAGTTTTAGATATTACGAAAAACAATGTCTAATCAATCATTTTTACTCAATGAATCTATGGAGAAACTTTGGCTCTTTCCCTTTTTTTTGCATGTTCCTTCATTTGTTACTATTTTGTTACTAATTCAGTCTCTTGTTTTTAATGAGCAATGAATAATTATGATGAAAAGCATAATGTGATTCACATGCAACCAAGTGAAATACAAATAAATAACAAGATAAGTTTTTTTCGGAATCAGAAAGGTAAAAGATCAAATCTGATTTTGATAGGTTGAGTTATATGTGCTTCTTCTGACTTTTATTTTTATTGGTTTCTTTAAATTTGTTTCTTTCTGTCATGTTCGTTTTAGTCGAAATAGTCATGGGAAAGAATAAAGATGGATAATTTGCGTTATTCTAGAATAAATCTCCTCGAAATCACTGCACATTTCATTTTTAATGTTTCACAATTTCTAAAAATCAAATTTCAGCAAATTTTATGCCATGTTTACAAGAAGAAGTGCACGATACTCCTGATTGATAGAAAATTAGTAGGACATAAGATTTCGAAGTTATATTATCAACTGTCGAATCAATAATATGAATAATGTTCAAATATAGAACTTCTCTCTATGTCTTTAATTCAATAAAATCGTAATGGTTTGGATCAAGTACATAGGGATTAATGAGATGATGCTGTACAAGCAGACCCACTGTAGTTAAAGCTAATTTTTCTTCCACAGCTGGTCCTCGATTTTGCCAATATTCACCAAATACACCATGTGAGTCAGCAGGATTCAACTCAGAAACATTAAAACCCATATGAGCAATAGCTACAGTTAATCGATGCATATCTTGATCAGCAATTAATACAGGAATAGGACCTTGGTAATTGTTCCGATTGAATTCATCAGCAAAGGCTTGATAGGTATCTTGTCTTTTATCATTTCGATAATCTACATCAAAAATAGGTAGAGCAAACACGACGGCACGTATGTTTCGATAAGTTGGTCCATCTTCTTCCAGTACTTTTCGAATAGCGACTGCAGAAAGTGATCGTACAGTTTCATCGATTCCGATAACTTTACCAGCAAATACACCAAGTCCAATACCTGTTTCAACAACAATTTTCACTTCTTCTTGATCACATGCTCGTAGTCGAAGTCTTGTCATACGCATTAAATCATTTCGAAGACGATCTATATCTAGTTTTGCTTGTGGACCATTAGGTCTCCGACGAAAATCTCTTTTATTATAAACTCGTGGTAAATTCGAATTCGGATCGATCTCATAAACATCTTTCCAATTTGTAACATAAGTCCGAATATCATCTACATCATGTATTCGTCCAGCAAAATCAATACCAGTTACTGAAACTAATTTAATTCGGTGTGGCCATTGATCTTGAGGTACACGAGGTATTAAGCGAGCATCGAATTCCATCAAGATAGGGCATTGTGAAATACGAACAACAAATTTCATACGAAATGCTTCTTCTCCATATTCACTCTGTCCTTGTAATGCTCGTCGAAGAAAATCTTCATTCATACCCTCAATAATTTTGTCCGCATAAACTTTATATGATTCTTGCCAACCGAGTATTTCTTGCACGGTCATCGCAAATGATGCAGTAGTGTTGTTTGGAAAATGTATTGTCATCTTCGGATCCATTGAATATAGCGATCTGCCTAACTGAAATCCTTTGACACCTTGTACGATATATTGTCCAGGAAGATTTTGAAAATCGAATGTTTCTGAAAGAAATTTTTCCATTTGAGTCGTTTCAGAGTGGCAGTTACCACTCATTGATCCATTTTTCTCCATTGGCTGAAGAGACATCAGATGTTTGAATAATTTATGCATTTCCGAATTACTTGACTGATGGAGACCAAAAGAAATACATGGGTATGGCTGAGACAGTACGTCTGTGCTTATTGTTATGAGGAGTTTCTGCTCTTTACTTGCACAATGAGCATCTTGTGTTAGCATTACCTGTTCATCTGTTTGGCTAGATTCTTCTTTCGAACGAACTATACTTTCTGATGGTGGGTGAATAATTTCTTTTTCGTCCATGCTTGTCTTTAAGATTATGATCAGGGAGTTCGATGACAATTTTAACGGTTGTATATTGATTGCAGACATTTGCTTTAGGTCATTTTGATATTTTTCTATTTGGTGTTTCCATTGATCAATATCAGTACTGGTGAATTTATTAGATTTTAATTTCGAAGTAAGTTCTTTTGATAGCTTACTAACTGAACCATTTAATAGTTTGTTTGGCTTTTTTGTCAGTTCTTCTATTTCCATTCGAGCTTTTTTAGCTGCTAATTTAACCGCTGCAAGAGATTCTTTTTCCCATTGACGTATTTCAGCCAATAACTTTCGACTAATGTTATGTTCGCGAAGTTTTCGTTTTAAACTATCATGTAGTTGCTTTATGTCTTCTCTCTCTTGAGCAATTTGTTGTTGATTTTTCAATAGGTTCTCCGAGTTCGATGATTGCCAGCATGCAAATGTAGCACCTGATGAATTAATATTATCCCTACTGGTAGTGTTTTCTTTCTTTTGGAAACTCATACCCATGAAAATGTGTCTATGCGTGTTCGAAATTGAAATCTTCTAACTTCGTCGGTTATATGTTGCTTGAAAATAAAATAATTTATAGACAATACTTGATAAGAGTGCATGAGAAAGATAAAAATGAAGAGTAGGAGTTTTTATGCGTTTTGGTCACATTTTTTTGCGTTTATGTGTTATTCTGAATAAGAATCATAGGCAAAACAAGATAAAAGGTGATGCAAAGTAAAGAACAAATATTCATGTCATACACAATTTCCTATGAATGCCTTTGCTCTCTGTTTGTTTTTGAAAAAATAGACATGTTACACATTGGACAGGCTTACTAAATAATAGCCGTTGAATAGAACGACAAAGAACGTGCTTCGTAAGGTTGAAAGTTCTCTTTTTAAGGAAAGAAAATTTTCCAGCAAAAGTGGAATACGTTTCGAAATGAAACGGTCGAGAAACCTTTCTTTCTTTAAAAAAAAGACTTCCATCTTTTCGAAACATGTCTTCAATCGTTCCTATTCAAAGTAATGAATACTCGATTCCATTCTTTTACGAAAGCGTTCTCAGCCATTTCTGTAAAAGAATTGCAAAAAACGAAATTCAATTATCTAGAACTCTGTCTTTCGTATGTTCTTCAATCTTAAATCGTGTTCTTTTTTTTTTAATTTATTTTTCTATTCTCTTCTTTCTTTCAGATTCAAACTCAAAACTCTATTCGAAAAGCTAACATGTCATCCATATGACTAATTTGGCGAGTTAAATATAAAGTGACTTTTGAAAATATTATTTTTCATAGAAGATTTTATTGTGAAAACTTGCTTCAATTCAACAAATAGACGATTATAATTAAGGTTTTAATTATGAGAAGATTCTTTTTTTAGACAAAGGAATATGTTTAGTGAGGATCAGCATATTCGAATTTAAACTTCAATATTCAATACATACCCATGTCGTATGTTTGCTTGCACTACCTCAATACTCCATCAGAATCGAGGGTAACGTTTAAGATCTTCGATTTCAGCTATAAACGATTGCAGAGAATGTTTTCTATCCAAATCCGAATTATTTATTAGGATGTACTAAGAGATTTTTTCGGACGAATTGTTTTTTAGTATAAATTTCGTATAAAGCTGTATGTCAACGGACGATTTGTGTCAAAAGGATACCGAATGTTTATAGTGTATTCAAAGAAAATATCACTTCCAAATGTTTAGTCGCAGTGGAATTAAATATACCACAATCTGAAGTAGTCAATATTTGTTGGGCAACATTTTTTTGACGATCTTTTAAAGTGAGTTATTTTTCTTTCAGAATTGTTTTAAAAATACGGAACACGAGCTACATTTTAATGGCTAAAAGTTTTTAATATCATATTGCCTATAATATAATCTATCTATTTTACAACAACGAGTACACAATGTTCATGTAAACTCTTTGTCGTTTTTCTAATATAAGTAATTTTTCTTTCCAAATATTACATTCGAAAGAATGTCAGACAGTACAAACAATTTGGAAAAATATTTTTCTATGCTTCTTATGGTTCGTATTAAATACAATATGGGTTTATTTTTGTTCATCTTGTTTTGTTGTATCAATCTCTTGAGACTTTTTTTTTAATCGTGTTTATTTAAAAAAGTAAATGAATACGACAGTCTTAACACAACAATCACTTTGAATATAATAGAAAGTAAAAGAAAAATAAACGAAGTTTTCATAAACTTTTTTTCTCTTCAATGATCAATTCTGTGATAATGTTGTCAAACATTCGTTAACTCTATTAATAATGACAGTAATGTTGATGATGTGTTATCATTTATTGTCATCACTATTTCTTGAGGCATTTCTCTTTCTTTTTATATATGTACAATCTTTATAATGATGATGATATTTGTTAAAGTCTCGATCATAAAATACATACAGAATATTAAAAATTATAGCTTGACAATCATTCAAACCATCATCTCTTTAAAACATACAATCTTATTGAACATAAACACTTTGGTATCTCATTTCCATAGTATGATGCTTTTCTATTTATCATAAACATAACTGTATATCTTTTATGTATACGATGATTAACCCTAAGGACTCTTTAATCAGTTCGATACTTCTTTTCATCGTTATCATTCTAGGATAGTAATGATGAGAAATATTATTAACAAAAGAAAATTGAATTAACTAAATAAATGCATTATTACATATTGTCATAACAAAATATGTAAGGCGAAAAATTTGTTATAACCGAAAAGAAGAAGAATATATTCTATTTTTAATATTATACATTTCCGGTTCTTCTTCTATATTATTTATCTAAGAGAAGCAAACCAAGGATTATTATTATTTTTCTTTCTTATTGTTTATTTCTCTGTTTCTTGCATTGATGAAAACATAACATCGATGTTTTACATTGAAAAAGATATGATAACATAGACAGAAAAAAAAAAAAAAAAAACTTGCTTATTGTTAATATAATGTATATATCTGTGATTTTATTGTATGCCTAAGAGAATTACTTGTCATTTTGTTTCTTAATCAAACTGACATAAGCAAAGAATCAGATCAAATGTAAAAAAGACTTTTACGAAAAGTAACATTTGTTTATAGATCCAACTGTGCTCCGTTCTTGCAATCGGAGATCAATTGCTGTCGATTTTTAAGATAAATATAAGCAGATAAAGAATTGTTTCTGTTTGATTTTTTGCTATAGACATAGTGGCATCAACCAGAAACGTTATTATTGCACACGCGCGTATATTCATTCAGTAGTAAGAGTAGAAAAAATAGAAAGATTTTTGAGTCTCGTCGAAGAAGATAAAGAAATTGTGTTTACTCAGAATGTGCATGTCCTCATAGGGAAAAGAAAAAGAACGATGACGAAAAAGAAATAGAGCAATAACAACAATTCTATTGTTATTGATGAGAAAAAAAAATAGCGAGAGTAACAAGATGTAAGTCAGAGTATTTTTTTCTTCATTCTTATCAAAAAATCATTATCATTTTTTTTTCCCTATAAGATATATATTGTTTAAAAAGAAATGATTTAATCTAATGGATGTGCTTGAATTACCTCGTCCTGTTATTAGTTTTCTTCGAACTATGGCTAAAGAAGGTTGTCGTTATGTTCTATCATGGGATATATTCGGTGGAACTGATACAGTAACATTGACACTTACATGGAAATTAAATGATAATGAATCTCAATTCTCAACATCAAAATCTCCACAACAACAATTATGTGAAGATCTATATATTCATCATGATGATTCGATATCATCACCACATTGCTTACGTCAAGATGATAATACTTCAACATCAACTAGAACTCGTTCATCTAGAGGCAAAAGTCTTGAAGGAAATACTCTATCATCAACTAAACTAATACCTTCTCATCAAAAACAAGTATCAAGCTTAGAACGAAAATCAATTATTAATCGACAAAAAAAAGAATCAGATCCAATCTATACCAATCTAAATAACATTCAATATTCTACGAATCCTTCATCATATTTTCGTTTTAATAAAAATCAACTTCCATCTTCTACTCATACATATTATCATCGAACTAAAAAACAAAATGAAAGTCCAATACGTCGAAAATTGATACCGTCGACATCGACTATTTGTAATACATATCCAGAATCGAGACGAACAAATTATATTAATATTCAATCTGATGATGATGATGATGATGGTGATGTGCTTGATCCATGGGTAAAACATTTTGAACGTTCACTTGAAGATAATATTAACAATCCTATAGCAAAATCTGACAACAACATCAATAAAATAGGAAGTACTCCAGGAAAAGTTAAATTCAAAAGAAAACCTGATTATTTTTAAAAGAATAAAGATATTTTTTTGTTATTATCTCAGGTTGCAATCAAATTTTACATGTAGAAACAAAAATTATATCGATCACCATTTTTTTTTTTTACATCACTTTGATAAACTTGTTTACTATGTCGTTATCATTGCTGATTAAAGTTCATCATTATTATTATATTACATTACACCATAGTGCTTTTTTTTTTGTTACGTGAATCGACTATTTTGCTTTTGTATAGTGTAACATTTGCACATCATAATATTTCTGCTTGTTGTTAAATTCTACTATCAACTCAATTAAGATACACCTATTTACTTGCTACTCTTGCTTATTTTTTTATTTTATCGTATTTTCAGATATGCAAAAAACAAAAGACCATGAACTGTTAAAATATATAAGCTTAGTTCTAAGAAAATATCGTCATTATATTTTTTTAAAGTCTATATCAAATGAATTAAATCAATGAAAAATAAGAGTAATATTATTTGTAAAACATCTTGTATAATTAAAAACCAAAGTAAGAACCGTGGGCGTCCGCAGTTTTTACTGACACTCAAAAATATTCGAGAAAATCTAAGTGCAGTAAATCAAACTGCTCTGTATATGTAATTTGTACATGCGAAGTATGTGTTAAATAAACATATTATGAAGAAGTACACTCAAATGAGACGCAGTCTATTTTCAAAAACATCTCAACTTGAAATATCTATTCTCATTATATATTTCGACTATTTTTGTGTATACAAGATTGAATTGAATAATGTTTTTCAAATGAAAAAAAAATATGCTGAACTCTTGGATTAAAATCTTTATTTTCCGAGAGTCAGATAAAATATGAATTAATTGATTAAAACTTTTTTGTATATTTAAATATCATACTGATCATATCGATGATGAAAATGAGTTTCTACAATATGCAGAAAGTAGAAAACCTTTTATTTCATATGCAAAAGAATTCGATTAATTAATTCGATGAAAGTACAACAAAATGTCATAGACACAAATTATTAATGTACTTATTATTTTAATCCGCCTTCAGGAAACATTATCACTTGAAAAAATCAAGTACAACAGACAAAGAGAATTAAAAAAGAAAAAGTCATCGGAATTAATCATTTCCTTTATTCACTCTGTTTTAAAAGCTTATTTGTTCTTTGTATACAAAAGACAAACGTATTTATCATAGGACAAGAAAAAAAAAATCACATTTTTTCATAATGTAAAACATTTGACAAGAATTTTGAATTTATGTTTATTATCTCACTTCATGAAGCAAACAGAACAAATAATCGTCGATATTTCATCGTATAAAAGTGCCAATAGGCAATTTCATATATATAATCATCTCACATCAATGTATAGAACGAATAAAGATAAAAATCGATTTTCTTTTGAATATATGAACATTTTCCAAGATTAGGCTATTTAGAATTCTATCAGTAAAATTCAACACAGTTTTAGATTAAAAATTTCTCTTGTAATCAAACTAATCTTTGACAATCCATTACATTCTTCTCTCCTTGGTCGTATTCGACATCAATACGGTCTCTATCAAAAACACCAAATTTGCATTTTTTTTTTAATCATAAGTCACAATCCACGTGTAAATATAACTTTGCCATTTAAACGTGAATCGATATATATATATATATATATACATATTCTTTTCGTGTGTTGTAGATACGCACAAAGAAAGAAAGCTATATTAGCTCACAATGATATAATTTACTTTTCTCATCAACTCTATATTTAATGAGAAATTTCATGAACCGTATATGAGACAACATCATGATTACCATGTAAAGTAACAACAACAATACTATAGTAAGAGCAATTAATGAATATATATTACATCATCAATGTTTCTCTCTTTTATCATTAATAGTGACTATTTTTTTTTAGTTCATCAGTTAACAAATAAAAGCATATAAAACAGTGACAAAACAAAACTCATCTACATATGCATCTGTTCACTTCATATAATATATCTATATATGTATGTAATAAATGATAGATCAATTGATAGAATCAATGAACGATCATTTGCCAGAAGGATTTTAAGTAAGTGTATGACATATCTATCTTTATATCAAACAAAACAATATTAATGTGAATATATATGACATTTCATGAAAAAAATTACTTAAAAAAATAACTCATCATTGAAATACTCCATGCATGATCATAGAATAGATTAAATAGGTTTTTTTTATTTCTTCTTTATTCATGAATACTTTCAAAATACATTCAATAACATATTTATATATGTGTATCACGACACCTATTCAACTGTCATCACCTGTCTGCTTTGCGTCCCAATATTCTTTTCTTTCTTCGCATCCAAATGTCATTGATTTCTTCTCTTTTTCTCTTTCTTTCTTTTTGTCAATTGTAGGTTTGTCACTATTTGACCATTATTGTTGGTGAAACAACTATTTCTCCTCCTTCTTCTTCATTCGTCCTCAAATAATAATCACACACATCTCATAATAACACGATTATCCATGATAGATGGTTTGGCCATTGGTCTTCATGCATGCATAGATACATATATCAATATATAGATCATTTCATTGTTCTCATTTTCTTTTTTACACAATCATCATCATTAAAGTTTCTCTCGTCTTATTTCGCATCCTTGCTATCCTAATTAATTTACCATCAATGTTCAATTTATCAAGTAAAAAAAAAAAACCTATCGAAAAGAATAGAAGAAAAAGAAATGATTAAACAGTTATCTTTTCTTCTTTCATGACCTGTATTCATTGCTTCTTGTATACAACAACCTATCGAAGAATAAAGATATGGAACATCGCAAAGCACTGACTTCTGACCTAACCACGATGAATTCAAATAACAATAACAATTCTCATCATCATCATCATCGACAGAGAAAGGAAATAGCGAAGCAACAGCCGTTAGGATCATTAGCATTATCAAAAAAGAGACAAGTCAAATCGGTATCAATCACTAATCCCAATATTCATGAAGAAAATATATCAGTAAGTGTTCAACGTCGTCAGCAACGAATACCAATGAAAAATCCATTATCATGGAAAAAAAGATGGTCCACATGGTTTTCTTCATGCAGTACAGAACGAACGGCTTATGTTAAGTGTAATCCAATAACAGTAACAATTGAGGTAAGATGTTATTTACCTTTCTTGTATATTCTTAACAAGTATCCCTGCTGTTTATAAGTGATCGATTGTCTAATACAACACTTCTCTTCTTTTCAATCACTAATCATTAAAAATTTTGTTTTTTTACACTTCTTATTTATACAGTCTATTGTCTGAAGGACGTGATTGAGTACCGGTAAAAGAATAATAAAATTCTCATGCATGTCAAATGATCTGACAATGCCCGATCGATGAATAATAATAATAATAATAATGATAAAAACTCCAGTTTTACAATCGACATTATTAATAACACTAAAATTAATATTAATATTCAAACAAAATATAATGTCGACTATGATGACCAGTATATATGTATATATATTCATTAATTGATCTTTTAACACTTTCGATATTGATATGATGGTGAACAAGGATAAGAAAAAAGAAAGCGGAAATAATGTTATGTTGACATATTATAAATATGAGATCGACTGATATGAAGCCCATGTATTTCGATTAAATAATAGAAGTATATTATATAGTTTGATCTATCTATTACACATTCATGATTCTATTTATTTAATAACTAAAAATCTTTCTTTATTACAATTGAAAAACTGTTGAGAGTTGATTTACTGTCGCTTATTTCAAAATAGTAGTCTTATAGGTTATCTTTGTTGATATATGAAAAGTTTTAAAGCTTCATGGAATAAAGAAAAAAATCAAAATACACTTCAAATTGATTAAAAAAATGATAATTAACCTGTTACTTATTTATTACAAGGATACACATGTACCATCTGATTTGTTGTGTAATACATTTGTTTCTCATTTAATCTCACTGATTACGTCTATATAGAAAAAAAAAGTCATTTATCTATTTCTAATTCATATCATATAAAAAATTGATCGATGACAATTTTCTAATTTATTTCATTCTTTTTTATTGCTTATATGTTATGGACTCATCGTTTTTTTTTTTTTTTTTTTTTCAACGTAAATAGAGTAAGTATGTAAATGAGATATGAGTCCATCAAATGTAAAAAGAAATAATTGTTGATATTTTTGAACTTGGATATATATGACAGATTCATTGAACATCATTATATAGAAAATCGTATATATTAACACGCGTGATTGCATATGTCATCAGGCTATTCTTTTTTTATTGTCTTGTATTTTTCAAGAATCCAATTGTCTTTAATGGAATCATCATGAAGACAGCGAGAAAACGTTATTATTATTATTATTATTGATCAAATAGAAATCTACTTAGAGATAATGCATCGATTTGTATAACTAAGTATTTCTTCATGATTCGTCTGATAAATGTAACATAATGTACATTTACTAAGAAAAAACAATTTGAGTTCGATTGTTCATCTTTTTATTTTAAATAAAGATATAGATTTATGTAGTGTATGTGTGTAACAATAGAAAAGTTTTTATGTAAAATCAAATAGATTGATTAATTGAAAAATTATAGTGTACATGCACATTTTCATTTCGTCGTAATTATATATTGATCGGAAATAATACTCGGTCACACACTTTTATTCTGTTTTTTCTCTTGTATAAAGAGAACAATAAAAAGAAATGTTATGTCTGTTCTTTTGTGAACGACAATAAACTATAGTAGGGTGGTTTTTTTTTAGTGTAGCTTGAGAGTTGTGCGGCGGCACAGTTCAGTATACTTATGCGTTTTGGGAAAAAACATATATATGTAGTTATTCTTAACCGCAATATGGCGCTCGTTTTTCTTTTTTCTTTTAGTTGCTTTTTTTTTCTCTTTTGATTTGGGTAGCTTAGGTGCAGGCGCATGTGTATAATGGCTCGTTAGACTTTTTGTATGTGAATGCGTGTGTGTGTGAAGCATGTTAAAAAAAAGTTGAAAAAAAAAGAAGGGAAAGAAAAAAGGCGACAAACAGGAAATCGTTCTTTTTCCTCTCTTGACTACGCGTAATAGCATGATGATGATGAGCTGCTACTTTTGTGGTGGACGCTTCATATTCTCGTATTCCTGTTTTTGTAATAGTTATTATTATCATGAGAGAATGGTATTAAAACAAAAATAATCACACTCCTACTGATTTCTCATTTTACATTTAAGACGAATGAAGCTATTTCGTATTAAAGTAAGTTTTACAAATATAAATGTGAAACGTCACTCGGGACATATATATATATATATTTATTTATAAGACAAAAGGAAATGTACGAAAGATTATTATTTTTTAATTATAGAAAAATGTTCGAACTAAGTCTGAAAATGACTTGTCAAAGCGTGGTAGTATTGATCAAGACGAAAAGGTACGTAGAAATTAAATCTATACTCCATTCTTGACGTTAACTTTCCTTTTAAGCATCTAAAGGAATTAAGATTATTCGGCATAAAAGAAGCGTAAAGAGGATCCTATTTATTTGATTACTTTTTTTTTAGGGGGAGGGGGGGGGGGGGGAATCGTCATTACTTCTTTTCTTTTTCTTTTATTGTCGATTCATCTTGTCTCTCAATAGCATCGTTAACAGAAAAAATATTCTTGTTGTCGACTATAATTTACGCGAATACATGTTGCTCAGCTTGCTCTTTTTTTTTCTTCTTGTTCTTGCATCTACACATAGATTGGAAAATAATTCTTCTTTATTTTGCTTAGGTTTTTGAAGGATAAAAAGAAATACGATTTTTTTAGCATACCGAATGTTTGTGTTTTATATTGTTTATCATGATTTGTATTCATCATCATTACATTAACGAAGACATCTTCTCGTTTTTTTTTTCTTGAATGGCAGACACAAATGGATAAGCATAATATATAAAAGAGATATATTTGTCGTTTTTTTCCTTGTTATTTCATCTAGATGTGTTATTTTGCTATTGCGTTTAAATATATTTTCTTGTCTAATACAGGCAAGGTCTTATTTATGACAGTAAGATAATTCAACAAGATCGAAAAATGATTAATTATTAAGTTGTCTTAAGAATGCAAAAAAAAGTGAGAGAATACATAGATTAACATCATTCAAATCGGTAAAAAGAAAGAAAGTAGAGTTGATAGAGACCATAAAAGTGGATTTTGTCTTGTTGTTACTTGCAGATTTCTTCTTTCATCTATACTGTCATATAAGATGGATGTGCATGTCTTGCATGTGCTACGTGCTTATTTCAAGTTAAAGACATAGTTATGTAGCCTATGTTCATAGTGAGTTGAGCATCATAAAGAGAAACATCCTCGTTCAATAATATTGAGAAAGGAAAAAACTCTTTAATATTTTCTTGCCTTTCGTTTCTTTTCTGTTCCATAGCAAAAGAAATCCATCGAAATAAGACTAAAAACAACGGATGCAATCTGTCAGAGAAACAAAAGTTCTATATCGAGAAGAAAAAAAAAAGTCATATGTCGAGAGAAAGAAAGAAGACACAATGCCATCGTCTTTCACTATATTTTGTGCTTTTGCTTTCTTCTTCGTCTTTTTTTTTTTCTTGTTGCGGTTTTTCCTTTGTTACCAAGTTCGACAGACGTTCGTATTACTAACCTTCAAGTTACTGTAGATCTTCTTTTTTTCAATGAGCATATGCGACAGATAAAAGAATAACAATATACGTTATGCAGGCATGATGTCTGTTGACAAGTAAAGACACTTGAAATCGAGTTGTGCTAATTGTATTCTAGGTTTTTCTTTGTTATTCTCCGTGTATGTCATGAGTATTGATTGCTGTTATTTTACCATTTATATTCTTCTAACGCTTCGAATTCCCATCATGACTAGTCAAATAACTATGTTAAAGAGCAGATACTAGCATAACTAATACTACTAGTACAACTACAACTAACATCAGAGGACACGACCGCCGATGTATATGCACGCTTATCATTGTGCGACGATGATTAAGAAATACGAAAATGCGCGTCCATGTGTGCTTCGAGCGATGAGTTGACTCTCGTCCTCTCCCGTTAACACTACATATGCAAACAGAGAAGGAAAAAGGAGAAGAATTTTTAATGGTATACCTTGGTGTCGCGTCGCGCAAGACATGATTTAAATCAACTAAATTAATAGCGACAGACGAGACGAGGAAAAGTAAGGCATATGCAACTAGAGAGACAAGTAATTGATATGCATATCAGAGGCAGTTATGATCATTGTACTGTATATAATCATGATGCCAATCTGTAGTCGTTAATGGTTTGTTCTCAAGTGTTGATTGATTAAGATTTACTAATGAGTTTGTGTAAGACAAAAAAAAGAAATGAGAGTATATATAAACAGGTAGACATACATTTTATGTTAACTAAAAGGGTGGAGTATGTAGATGCTTATGAAAAGGTTATCGATTATCGGTTGGTTGAGTATAGTTTGCATTATGTAGTCCTACGGGAAAAAAAAGAGGAAGAGCAACAACAATGAGAAAAAAAGAAAAAAGACTGATGTTATTTGCGTCTGCTAATGCCATGTTCTCGCCTACTATAGCCAACACACATACACGTGCATGCCTAACTAAAAATTGTTGTTTTTATATGATCCTGACAGTCTTTGCCAAGGAGAAAATTACGGAGGTGTGATAGATTTTTTTTTTAAATTAGATTCATGCGCTTCTCGTAGCGTAGACGACATACTTTCTTAAGTTTTGATCGTTTTTATCAATATTTAAAAATATGTCTGAGTAAAAATATTCTTTCATATAGTTTATACATATGAAGTTTGCCGTTAAATATAATTCTTTTTTTTTTTCTACTCTTACTAAATCAATAGAGAAAAGTATATTAGCTATGTCCTGTTTGAAAATACCATCTTTACTTCATTGAGACGATTAGTAAACTTCTTTTTGATATTTTAAAAATTAGTGATGCGCAAAAAAAAAGAAATTAAGATTCTATTCTTGTTTCTTTTACTTGATTTTTTTATGCTAAAAGAATGTTAACTAAGTAACTATATACAAAAATACTTAGTAAAGAATATAATAAAGATATTCATTTGTTAATATTTTACATGTGTATACACTTCATGTCAATAAGAATCTTAATCATTTATATTATTATTAGATTCTACTATAGTATAAAATTAACATATTGTCTATGTTTGTTTTATTTAGAAAAATCCATCAACAACTAATTCAACACTTGCTATTAATCCTATATCCAACGATAATCAAGAAAAAATTTCATCAAAAATTTCTTCTCATCAACATCGACATCATCATCAATCAAACGATAAAGTTAATAATTCAAATAGTGTTATTTATCGTGACGCATCGAATCGTTATTCAAATACATTTTTGCCTTCGACACGCTACGAAAAAGGAGGGCAACATCAAAGTCAAACATCAATTGCCGCTATACCATCAACAACCAATACTTCTCAACATACTCATCAAAAACAACAAGCACGACAATTGAGTCGTTCTGCTGATCGTCTCAATAGTAAATCAAGTCGTCGAGAATTACGTTATGAAGAACATAACGATTACATTCCACCACCACCGCCACTTAATTCAATTCAATGTCATCCAACGATTGATCATTATGCACGAACTTTAAATCAATCATCATATTTCTGTTCAACACATCGTCGTAGTCAGATAGAAGTATATCAACTATCAACAGAAAGAAATCGTCTTACATTACCAAGACCATATTCATCAAATATCCCATTCACACAGAATACAACATTAACAAATATTCCTATTACATACAGTTACACGATAGATAATATTCCGATTATGTCTCAAACATCATCTGATAATAATAATACGTATGGAAAATTATCTGATTGTCATTCACCCTTAACACCAGTAGAAAATTCATCTGTCAAAGCACCACGTCGTATTGAAATAACATATAGTCAATTTCCAACAACAACAACAACAACACAAGAAGAACCTGTTTATGCAAATACACAATCACTTTATGATAATATACTTTATCCGGAATCATCATCAAAATCTAAAACATTAAATCGAAATGAAAAAAATAAACTAGAAAAAAAATCTTGCGCATCTCAAACACAATTAACATGGACAATGGCAACATTTTCATCATTTGTTGATTTAGAAAATCAATCAATTATTATTCAACAACCAGATCCAACAACACTTTATTCTATTATACAACGTCCTCAAACAGAACCACCACCATCAGCATCATCCACAACTATTGAACAAATGAAAGCAATGTCACCAAGTGTACGTCGAAAATTTTTCAGAATATTTTTTTTTTATAAGATTTATGCCGAGAATAATTATAGTCTAAGCTTAATAATCTTATTCAAAACATTCTCAGTCATTTATTCATATCGCGTAGATAAGCACATGCTTTATTCATACTTTAGTGAAATTCTCGCTTTGTTAGAAGTGTTATCAAGGGATAGGAAGTATTTTTTATTCTAGAAATAGACTGTAAAATTTACATATATTTTCTATTCTTTAGTTACAATATATCGATGATAACAGTACTCCATCACATTATCGATATCCACGTACTCCAACTCCATCTAAAACTTTACTAATTGAAAAACGTGATGGTTCTTTTCAAACACTTGTTACTATGACACCAACTCAAGCTACTGATTCAAATAAACAAATAGCTATTCATGAGTCAACACCATCACCATTATCGACTGGTTCATCATCAACAACTGATCATTATCATCATCATCATCATCATCACCATCATCATCGTCATCGACGACATAAATCCCAAAGTAATACAAGTCGAAATAATATTAGTACACGTGATGTTGGTCTTCAAGTAAATATTCAAACAGTTAAAAAAATAACATTTTCATCACAAAAAAGTGATGATTCATCACTAACAACATCAGCATCATCACCACCAACAGTTATATCAACTCGTGAATTAAAAAGTGTTCAAACAAATACTGAACCATTCGTAACTAAACATGATAGAAGTACATCATGTGAAAGAAATATTCCTACGATAAAATCATCATCGACACAAACACTTGATTCCCCAATGAATATAGAATGGCAAACAAAAGCTGCACAAACACTTACTAAATCTTTACGAGATCAATCAATTGAAACAAATAATCGGGGTTTATTTGTTTGTGATCTTAGTTCATTTTTAAAAAATGGTGTTGAAGAAATATCAACATCAACAACAAAAAAACTATAACTTGAATTTCTTTGTGTTCTTCATTATGATTTATAAGTGTGTTCCTTTTTCTTTCTTTTTGTTTTTATTTTGTATTTTTTTTTCAAAAGAGATGTCCATATTAAATCCTGTGTTTTCTCAGACGGATAACAAATAACAACTCAAATTTCAGATTTAAATATAAACTTTTAATGAAAATATTTCAGAATATTCTACTTCTAATTGAACATGGCTTGAGTAAGTTTTATTCTTATTCATATTACAATTCGAATTATTATATTCTACGGTAATGTTTTATCGAAATTGATCTTCTGCAGACATCTAACATATTGTATTAGCTTATGCTTAGCAATTGTGATAGTACATGTAAAGTATTCAATACTAACATCTGATAGTAGCTTGTTTTGAATACGTTATATCATCGGAGGCAGGGTCTAGTTCTGAATAGAATGATGTAATATTTAAATCGAATAACGAAAAATCTTTAGATTGTCCTCAATGGTATAGAGCTTCGCGAAAGAGTCTGTTGTGTCGTTTTTTTAATTTTGCCTTGACAAGTTTGTAAAAGCTCCCCATAATTTATTAGAGGCGAACCAAACGTTTCTAGACTTTATAAAAGCGTTTATCAAACCTCAATAGTTTGCAAAAAATTTTATTTAAATATACCGCTTTGTAGGGCATCATTTTTTGTATCATCCAATACACTCGATACAACTTTCTATCATGTCTGGAACAAGTTCTATTTGAGGATTTTTTTCCTCCAAAACAATGCTTGAGTCTTGTCAAAATTCACTTATAGTCCAATAGTCAAAAGTTACAGAAAAATTCTAACGAGATAACTACCCGAACTGATATTCACCGTTGGAACTCACATTGAGTTCACAAAGAGGTCTCAGTGAGACTAGAAAAATCCTAAAAGGATTCATGCTCATAAGCTTCTAGACTCGAGTTATGAGCGTTTCACTGAATTTTTGATCTGAAATTTTGCTCAAAAGGTAGGTCTGATGAATCGGGAAATATTCTGAAAATTTCAGTCGAAAAGAATCTTCATTTTTTTTGACATACTGAATTTTCAAGTAAATTCGATGTTTATGGCAAACAACCATGTTTAGAGAATTCAATATCTCGAGAAANTCATGTCTGGAACAAGTTCTATTTGAGGATTTTTTTCCTCCAAAACAATGCTTGAGTCTTGTCAAAATTCACTTATAGTCCAATAGTCAAAAGTTACAGAAAAATTCTAACGAGATAACTACTTGAACTGATATTCACCGTTGGAACTCACATTGAGTTCACAAAGAGCTCTCAGTGAGACTAGAAAAATCCCAAAAGGATTCATGCTTATAAGGTTCTAGACTCGAGTTATGAGCGTTTCACTGAATTTTTGATCTGAAATTTTGCTCAAAAGGTAGGTCTGATGAATCGGGAAATATTCTGAAAGTTTCAGTCGAAAAGAATCTTCATTTTTTTGACATACTGAATTTTCAAGTAAATTCGATGTTTATGGCAAACAACCATGTTTAGAGAATTCAATATCTCGAGAAATTTGAGCTCAAACTTCTCACTCTTTTTCAATGTTGAGTTAAATTTAACAATTACTACCTTTTATTTTTGCCATTTATTTTTTATTATTATTAACCGCTAGCACTTAGTTTGAGTCATTCACTCAGACAAATCTTATCTTGCACATTGATTGTCTTTAGATGTTTTAATGATTGCATTTGATATAATGATTAAAATAATTAATTCAAAATAACTTTAACTTTGAAAGGAAAGAAAAAATGAACATATATTTATTGCGATGAACTTGATTCTTGAGAAAGTTTTCTCTATGATATGCAAATGAAAAACTAAAGAATATCGGCAGTGTGGCCGAGTGGTCTAAGGCGCTGGTTTTAGGCACCAGTCGTAAAAGGCGTGGGTTCGAATCCCACCGCTGTCATTGTCAAACGAGGCAAGTTTACTTGCCTCTCTTTTTCTTTCTCTTTTTTTTAGCGTATTTGTTAGATGTTGACATAACAAAATAAAATCTTATCAAAAAGCAACAAAGTTGCTTTTTTTCTGTCGTTAGACTTTCAAATTGTTTAGATATGAATATAACTAAACAAATAAATTCACATTTTTTTTTGACATTGCTTGATGAAGAAGTCAGGTTAGTTGTGTTGTTCATTTATTTTTATTCATTTAATCTAATGTTTTTATTTTGGAAAACTACAATGAAGAGTAACAAACAGCATTTTGTAGCTCCTAAATTTTATCTTCTCACTTAAACTCTCATATGAATTATTAGCGACTTATCTTTCTAAGAACAAATAGACTTTTGCAAAAAAAAAAATGAATTCAACAACGTAGGGTTGAGAAACATAGATGTATGTATGTTTCTAATATGTAAATCTATTATTGAAAAGTTATATAATGAGAATTTATATTTATAGATTTTTCCCTAAATAATCATCGGATTTGTACATTGATTTGATATTCTATAGCTGAAATATTTATTTTAAAAATAATGTATGTTTGAAAACGTTGTTCAAGTAAAATTTTTAATTCTATGTCATGAGAAAAACGTTTTATCATATAAACAATTTTATATTTGAGTTATTAATCACCGATCAAAATTCAAATTGATTCAGTCAAAAAAAACAATGATGCATGATAATTACTCGGGTCATCTCTGTTCGACATTGTCTCGATAATAATACGTGAGAAAAAATTACTTTGATAGCAATAAAATAAATGTCATGTTTAACCTGAATATAATTACAGTTAAATCGTATTTGCTTCTTCTCTATAACATAAATATATATTAAATGCTTATGATAGCGTGTATAGCTAATTCAAGGATTCAATGATACATTCATCATTGTCAAGTCAATAACTCTTATTACCGCCCTCTTGAATAGTTCTTATTGGTAAATGTCAAAATAATATCTACTATGATGAATCATAATTAATATAATTGGCTGAGATCATATCTTAATTTTATCTATTAACTAACGTTGTTAAAATAATAGTTGAAGAAATTATTAATAAATATAAAACGATGGGAAATACAATTAGATCGATCTTTGGTAAAAAACGTTATCGAATATTAATGGTTGGACTCGGTATAATAATAAACAATAAAAATATAAATAAACTTACTCCATTAAATAATTTGATCAACTTGTTTTTTTAGATAATGCTGGAAAAACATCAGTTCTTTCTCATCTTCGTTTACAAGAATTTCGTTCAACAATGCCGACTATTGGATTTACTGTTGAAACCATTATTTTAGAAAATGTTCATTTTACTGTATGGGATGTTGGAGGACAAGTAAGAAAAACAATGTATTCATGAAATAATAAAAGGGAACTTTTCATATACACTCAAAGTTACATATGAGAAACTATGAATTGTTTTTCAACTAAGAAATAAAAAAGATTGATTTGATTGATTCTAAAAAACAGCTCGTCAAAAACATTTGCAACTTCCAAGATCGATAAATTTCGATGAATAGACCACTCAAATATTTCTCTCTAGGATATATCTCGCTCGCAAAAGCTAAAAAATACTTCGCTTTCTTAGCTGCAATAATAGAACTGGAATATTTTTGTTTCACAAATACTATACACTCTTTAAAGTGTCTACTCTTTTTTAACTGCTTCCATTCGAATAAAAAGATCAAAATACTGAATATATCTCTAAAAATACATGTTTTTCTTTTTTATTAGAGCTTTTTGTAAAATCAATGGTGCACTATTTTTCTAACTAAAATGATCAATAATTGATCGTGTTAAAGATGCATGACCCATGCTCTCCACGCCATTGGAGTAAGAAAGGATCATTATCATTCGAAAAGTTTCCCATACACCGAATAATCGTCTCGCAAGTTGGGTTTAATAGAAGTAGTAGCTAACAACAAAGAGCTCTGATTTATATGGCATTTGACAGAGGACACTTCGAAACTATCTTAGGAATGCAAAATCAATAACATCCGAAACATGATATATAGACCACGATAGTTAAAACTCACATACTATTTACTATTAAAATTCAATTTTATTTCGAATAACATAAAAATCAAAGAAAACAAAAAGTAATCGATTTGATAAACTATAGAAATCAATAGAATATTATATTCTTCAATGAGATTGAGATTAATGAATATTTTCTTTTATTTATTGAAACACCTAATAATTATCATTCTTTTTTTTTTTTTTCTTAAGGATAAAATTCGTCCATTATGGCGTCATTATTATACTGGATCTCAAGGTCTAATATTTGTTGTTGACTCCACGGATTATGAACGAATTGATGAAGCATGTCGAGAATTACAAAAAATCTTAAATGATCGTGAAATGCGTAATATTAGTTTACTTGTACTTTGTAATAAACAAGATCTTTCCAACAGTATGCAACCAGATGAAATACGACACGCATTACATTTAGAGAACTTTACTCGTCCGTATGCCATAATGCCTTGTTCAGCTTTGAGTGGAGCTGGTTTATCAGAAGGTTTTAAATGGTTATCTAAACATTGTAAATAAAATAATATCGGAGATCAGAATTTCTTCTCGAGTCAAAAATTTTCTCATTAATCTTCATAAAAATTTTTCTAAGTTTTTACGGAAGATTAATGAGAAAAATTTGCGTTCAGGCTGAAATCCATGTAATTGAATAATATTTTTTTGTATGATGGTATAGTGATCTGTCGAAATGTTTTCATTGTTAATACCAGTGATTTTTATTTTTTTATATTGAGAAAAAATAATAAAATAAATTATTATGAAATTTATTTTTTAAATATCAAAGAAATGACAATAAAAAGAATTTTTAATATATAATTATTGTTATTCTAAATATATAAAATTTATATATATATATATATGTGTATGAATTATGTTAAATCTTGTAATGATTGTGAACGATAATGTTGAAAAGGAGAATTTTGACTATGTTTTAATTGACAATCATGTTTCCGAATTAATTTATTAGATTCTTGTGTTTGTGGTATAATTGATGTTTTATAAACGAAAAATTTTTTATTTGATTGAGAATTTTTCATATGAGTAGATGATAATGATGATGATGATAATCTATCTGAATTATTCATTAAGTTTTCTTTTGAATTATCAATACGATAAATAACTGTTGGTTGTTGTTGTTGTTGTTGTTGTTGTTTATGTTGCTCAACATTAGTTTTTAGTCGATGGACACGATTATGATTGTTTGTTACAGACGAATTATGACGTGAAATCATTGAATTTTGTTCAGCTAATGAATTATCATAATGAACTGGTTTACTACTGAATGTTGGATAAGAAGATGTTGGAAGAAAATTAGAATCACTTTAAAAAGAAAGAAGAGAAATGAATTAATCATAATGTATTTCGACAAATATAGAAACTATCCCATACATATTAGAAGACTAAGGTCTTGTGAAAAAATCTTTTTTTGTCAACATTTTTTTCGTTAACATACTTTTGAGACGTGTTTGCTTGAGAATAAAAGAGATAGTACTAGTTTATGTATGCATAATGGAAAATGCATTCTCTTCGATGGTAGAAAAAAAAGGTATTGCCAACTAAAGTGAAAACGAGACAGCTATCAAAGATACTAGAAGAAGAGAACGATTAATATTAAACTTCATTTTTGTATTAGCAGTAATATGCATTTTGTGAATGTATGAAATATGGAAGAGCAGCATCATGGATTCCTTTGACATAATAATGATTCAAATTTTGATCATAGGGACAGTTCTAATGATGATTCAAGTGCTGAAATGATTTCTGTTATTGATGAATGTGTAGATAAATGCGTACGTTTATCAATATATCATCAATCGGAATCCGAAGACAATAATGATTATGATAATGAAAAGAAAAAGATGATCGAAAAACTCATATTTGTCAAGCGTCATCAACAACAACAACAAAAAATGAGACAGCTCATGAGGAAACATAGTCAACCGTTGGATGCTGTTCAACATTACATGAAGACTACAAATAGAAGACAAAGAAAACTTTAAAAACAATTCACGTCTATGATTTATTATTAAAGACTTATCTCGAAACTCTTCATTTTGGATTTTTCGAAATTCGAACAGCATTCAACAGTTGAATATGATCCATCGTCAGTTTATGAAAAAATAAACTAACTGACATATAATGAAAGTATTCGATTTTTTATAATTAGATATGAGTTCATAATAGAAGACCCAGGATATTTTACTGTGTTTGGAGAGGAAGGTTAAATCTATAAATAACGAATTATGCAACAGTTCATGCATAAACGCCAGATCCGACTGTATTCAAAGAGAAGATGATAAAAAGCTGATTTATTGTTTTGCTAGATAAATCATGATCTCAACTTTGAAGTGACACATTTTGCCAACTACTATTTATTTACTAGTAATAGAATTGCTTTGATTTTCTTGAAATTAAGAACAAGAAATTAACAAATCTTATATCTCAACGATGGCATGCACTTGTAAACCGGTGCATGTTCTTATAATCTCGTTATAATTCTCCCGATCATAATCAATCTTGTTCTAATTGCTTTTTGAGAATAGATACAGTACAGCTATAAAGTTTTTAGACGATTGATTTTCTTCCACGAACAAACGACAATAGTAGAACATGACTATGGCTTGTATGCTTAACAAACGCCGATATAATCGCGTATATTCCTAGATGGCAGACTCAAACATTTGTTTCTCGTTTTATTAGGTTGATAGATTTATGCAATGTATCAAAATTCTCGCGTAAACCTCAAAGGTTTCGATCGCCTTTGAGGACAACTAGTCACATTTTCGTAGTTCTTTTGAGAGGCGAAATAAAATAAAGATAAATGTTCGCATAGTTCTTTAAATGCACGCTTTTTTTTGACACAAGATGTGAATTTTTTTTTTCGAAATCATACCAACTCTATACAGTAAAAAAATGTGAATTGAAAATAAGAAGTATTAAATGTCTTTCATCTGAATGACATAAATAGATTGGTCTCCCTATTCTTAACTTCCCGCTGAGAGTCTTAAAAAGATTGTTAAGTTTTTTCTAAATTCAAAATATTCCGCCATCTATGCGTATATTGTATGCAAAAGTGAGATCACAACTTTACATCTTAACCAAGATATTGGAGAAAAATAATGAATATAAGCAAATGAGAGAAAAATTCGGCTTACTTTTCTTTCATATGATGTTTTACATATCGTAATTGTTCATCTTGATTATTATTAATTGTTAAATTCGATAATAATTTTAATAAAAAATATCGTTCTTTTTTCATTTCTTGAATTGTTTCGACTAATATTGATTCATTTAATTTAGCTTTTAAATATTCATTTTCACGATATAATATTTCACGTTCATCCATAAGTTGATTTACCATTGAAACAAGTTGTTCATGTTCATTATCAATTGTTGTCATTGACATACTTTAAAAAAAAAAGAAGAGAATCACTGTTCAACACAAAAAAAAAACAAATCAAGAAGTGTTGTCTTTCTTCAACATTCGATATAGGTATATATCAATTGAATGAAGAAAAAAGGAAAAAAAGAGAGAAAGACTTTACAATTATTCTCATGCACTTAATGTCTCTACGTGATGTCAAGAAGAGAAGTACTTACTCCGCCTGCCTACTTGAATAAAATTACATGCAGTAATACATGCTTTATTTCGTTTTTCAATACTATTGAACCTTTGTAAATAGTGATGACTGAAATAGTAATTTCATCTTCAAAGCATGATGGTATACAAAAGAAGGAATACTTTATTGTTTTTTTTTCTTCATTAGAATTTGTTTTAATGTTGATGATATTAAAAAAAAATAAGGAATATTTTATGATAAAATCAAATAAACTAATAAAAAATTAATCAATACTCGTATAGAATAGATTTGATTCAATCTGACGTGACTACCAAGGATTGATGCGGATTCCGATCACGTAAAATAGCAATAGTGCATGAAATCATGATTTACTGCGAGTCGCTTGATCCTGGGCTGATATGCATGAGAATGGGTATGTGGGTATCAGTGTTAGTAGCAGTGTAGAATCGGGTGTGCAGATCTATCTTATCCTTCTTTGTGTCAGAACGAAAAACGGAGAGTTGCTTGTAATTTTTCATACCAACTGTACCATTGATATAACGGGTGGGGCAGAATAAATGGACCTCTCAGTATTTTGACTATAACTTTTTGTCTTTTCGATCCTTAGAGCTGATTGTTGTTGCGAAAGATGCGCCGTCAAATTCTCTGCAATGCCTTAAACAATCCTATTTCTGTAAAAAGTTAAGGAGAAAAATTAAACCAAGAATACCAAAGACCTATAAAGTACCCAACTTTCAAAGCTGTTTTGATTCGGAAATTTTCGATTATTTTAAACAACTCTAAAGGCAACAAAACAAAAGTGAAGATGTTTTTGAGTACTTGGAAGTGCGCTCTTTCTCGCCATACAGTTCACAGGCCTTTGAAAATAAAAGTGAACATTGAAAAATCTAACATACAAAAATCACTTCAGATTCGCCAAGGTCTACTAGTTTTTGTCAACTGTGCATTTACGGAGAAAACTTAAAAGTAAAATTACGGTCAAATTTCGCCGCTGAATCTAGTATAGGAGTAATTTCTTATCAAAATAAAAAAAAGCCAAGCTCAAAAGATGCTATTTTGGCTTCGTTATGCGACATTTTCCAGAAGCTCCGAAAACGACGGATTCAGATAGATGAATTTTGATAAGCCTCAAAGACAGGAAAATTGATGTGGCCATCCACGGTTGATTCAGTATTTGCTCACTAATGACACTGGTTGATAGAGCTTTTCAAGAGCTACAAAATGCATATATTTTTCTTTTCTGATATTCTTCAGTTTATAATGGAAATAGTTGAAGAAGACGGCAGTTCAGCTTGAAAGTTGGGTATTTTATACGAGTCTGGTATTCTTCGTGTAATTTTTCTTCTTAATTTTTTACAGAAATAGGTTTTATTAAAGTATTGTAGAGAATTTGACGGCGCATCTTTTGCAACAACAATCAGCTCTAAGGATCGAAAAGACAAAAAGTTATAGTCAAAATACTGAGAGGCCCATTTATTCTGCCCCACCCGTTAGATATTATAAAACAAAATAACATATCGATTACTTCCTCTTAAAATTTAATAATTGTTGTCAGATGTAGCAAAAGCACTTCTTATCATTATGTAATATTTTTTCTTCAGCTTAGTTCCAAATAGTGTTCACTATTTTTGTCAATGAGATCAATGTAGTTTCTCACGATGACTTATACGGTATGCTTATATAGACTTTTCAGGAGATTATCTTTTAACTGATTTAATGAGCAACTGCTCTAAACCTATTAAATGATATATTGTAGGTTTAGAATTTATACTTATGTATTTTGACCTACTTTAACATGTAAATGACAATTGACTGATGTTACTACGGTACTACAATCAAAAGGCTATCTCTCCAAGTGTCAAATCCCTTGTTTAACCGAGATGATATTCACTTAATGAGTACTACTGTGTGTCACTCTCAGATCATGAGGGAAAATAGCTCTTGAGCTTCAACTTCAAACTTTGCATGAACAAAGTTCTCAATCCAATTAGTTTATTGGGCAAACTCTAACTTTTCTAGTATCTTCTTTTTTGAGATATTCAATATTCAAAATTTTCTCTAATATCAAAGCAAATTTTGTTCATATATTTAATGTCATTTTGAGAAAGAAAATACCAGAAAAGTTAGAAGTTTTTTTTGTGAACTAATTTAATCGAGAACTTTGTTCATGCAAAATTTGAAGTGAATAGTGGAAAGTCAACTTTCCACATCACCTTTGGAGAACCATAGTTTTTGTTGCAAAATTCAGTAATTATTATGTTGAAAGCAGCTTTCAATGTATGTAAGCTTTTCAAAATGTTCTATAGTTTAAAATTTTATTTCTGTATAACAATCGTAAATGTTCGACATGGAATCAAGCATCAAAAAACAAAACCCAGAAATTGACTATCAAATCTTTGGTAGTAGAACCACCTTCACCAATCAAATAATAACTATTTTCCATTTTATTGCAAATAAACTCGCGAATAAGTAGCTAACAACCCTGCTGCTAAACCACTTTTATGCGACAAACATCCATTATTCATTTCTTGTTCCACTAATAAATGTCGTCGTGTTTTACGATGAAATCGAATTGTTTCCGATGCATCACTAAAACAACCATAAACTGGATGTTGCCACGTTAATATTGTATTAAACCAATCAGGACGTACAAAATCTTCATAACCAATTATTGAACAAATTAATAATTGTTCAATAAATAAATCTTGATTAAAATTATCATGTAAATTGGTTTTAGCATCATCATATATATTTGCACAAAAATAATCTTCTAAATCATTGAAATTTTTATTTGTAACATCTTGATTTATACAACCGATATTTTTTGCAATTAAAAACCATAATAATTGATGTGTTATACGATAATTGCCACCCTTTGGAGATGTCATCATATTCCAGCAGTGTTCACTAATAAAACATTTAATTGACTTCGGATTATCACTTGAACCTAAAGTAAAAAAGAAATATACTTCAATTCAATTAAACTTTTTCTCTGAATTTACCAAGTAATTCAGCAAAACATTGATCGGATTCTTCTTCATCAAAATTGGAAATTCCTTCACCTTGTTCAATTAAATTCTTATTAATTTTTTTCGATTGATAATCAATTACAAATGGATGATGAACAATAAGATAAAATCGATGTAAATATGATGATGCCTCATGTGCAATTCTCTGCAAACTTACATTTGCTATGCGTTCAATCTGTGTTGATAATGAATGAATTAGATTATGTCGATCAGTTAAATGAATTTTTTTATTGATTCGTGACCTTAAACTTTGTTGAAGAGCATTTAATTGACCTTGTGCTATACGTAAACCATATAAACCATCAAGATTTAGATTATTTGCATCAGATTCAAAAAAATTTAAAAGACGTTGAAGAGCATGTAAAGCATGACCACCATTTTTTATGTCAAATTCAGAAGAAGAAAAATCAGAACTACATACGATTTGAATAGGAGCATAAGTACTAAAGATGAATATAAATATAATCAACATCTAAAAATAATAAGAAGAAGAAAAAGATTGTTTTTCTGTTTCTATATAAGCCGTTATAAATATAGATATTAGATGGTGTATTTTTTTATCCCTGATAAATGTCACTTATGATATATGAGTCTTATCATCGGAGATCAGTACTATACACAAAATAATATCATATATTCAATCATACGCCTTTGTTGATATTTATATTACTCAAGCATTTCCTTAGGTTAAATTAGTAGCATATTTTATTGTTAATGTATAGATAAGAAAAATTATTTTGCTACTCACTGTATATATTCACATAATGTTAAAACTACCGAGAAAAAAATAGTTACAAATATTGCCGCAACATAAGAATGAATAGTACCTAAAAAATATATATTACAGAAGGATAAGAGAGAAATCATGAATGGTATATATACAACGTTGACAGAAATGTTGTATTCTTTTCCTCCCTGGCATTATGAAAAAATGTTGGGTAGTGGGAAGGAAAGAGAACAAAATATGCACATGTAGGTCGCCTATGTCAATGTTTGATTAAGTATTGAATCATATGATTGTTGGTTTGAGAAGTGGTATTGAAGAATAATACAAAAAAAGAAAAAAATTATTCACGTTATTATCATTTTGTTTTTTTTTTGCATTACATGGAAACGGATTAATAAGGTTTCGATTGACTCATGTTCAGATAAATATTCTTAAATAATAATAAATCTTGGCAAGAATCAAAAACTAATAAAAATTTCTTTTATGTCATATTATAATAATCTATAAAGAAAAACAATTCAAGTTGTCAACATTATTCCATAAAAAACGACAACTACAATCTATTGGTTGGAATGAGGATATAGTTTGATTATCATCCATCATCACACAAAAATATTAAAATTTTAATTTATTGGTATCAGAGATGTGCATTGCCCGTGCACAGGTGGATGATGTCCTAACGGTAAGTATGAAGCATTTTCGCGTGGTCGTGCTGCAAAAGAAAATATGAAGCATGGCGACTAGACAAATTCACATCAAACGCTAAAAAATTAAGAGAAAGGATTTGATCATTGACAGAATCATTCTTTCTTAGATACCATTTGTTTGATTACCTCATTTCATATTCATTTGTTAAATTTCTAAATTAAATCGTAATCAGTGTTAATTAATCATTATCCTGATAATAAATCGATATAACTCAAAACTGAGTGAGTTTCATTGTCACGAGCATAATATTTCAGTTCATCTTAAACTTAAATATGTGCAAATTTAACTACAAAATAAGTTAAGATGGAAACGAACACCCTATAACCACGTATATATAATATGTTCGACTACATCTTGTTTAATGTTCAGACTGAATGAAACAATACACTTTTTCATGAGAATCAGTCTATTTCACGTGAAACCATCTCTTCTATTGTAACACTAGGTTTTGACGAATTCTATGATATACCATGAGAAAGAGGAGACTTGGCAGCATCAGAGAACTTATTTCCATAAAGTTCGTTGCTTTTGTGGGGCATTTAGAAATAATTTTGAAAAGTAAAAAAGTGATTTAGACAATGGACGATTTCGAAGCTTCACAGATTTTTATGTACTGTTTTCGATCTGCATATTTTGTAATAAAACATTCAATATGGTTTTTGTAGAGAATTTCACAGTGTATGTCTTTGGTATGAAAACAGAAACAAAAATTATTGAAATTGTGTATATATATATATTAATTTGCATGAAAAATTATCCTTTTCTCCTGGACCACTCGATACATGCATATATACATGAGTGAATTACAAAATTATTATTCCGTTATATTCTTGTATGTAAAATTTCAATAAGTGAAGTTCTTCTCAATCAATCTTTATGATTTTTTCAGGTTATGTCCTTTGTAAGAATTCTTCACTACCATACAAAAAATCACAAATTTATCTCGAACCAATCTTGAGACATTGGATGTTCAAAGTTAAATACTCTAATTTTGACTACCATTTATCAGAAAAAATTACCATATAGCTGGTTGTTTCTATCATCATTTGAAGTTGGGAAGTTCGCGATACTATAGTAAACAGTTTATACTTCTCGGATATGAAACTGATTGATTATTTCAACGCGTTTCTTATTGCAGTTTTTTTCCTCAGTATCATAAGTACAGTCAATCCTCGATTTACTGTCACACGAGATTTGTTAGTTTGTTTCACGTATAACTCTCTTTAGGCATGGCAATTTGAGATGAAATTTTAATCATTTTATGTACTCATTGTGGTTAACTATCATTGAAAATATCAAGATCAGAAAACTTATAGTTCGTAAAAACGAGAAAGATTAGTATCAATATGTCACGCGAGATTATTATGTGTATAACTGCACCACAACTAAAGCTCAAATAGATGCATAATATATTAAATGACTTCATATTTAAGGAGCTATCATGAGTAATGCGAATTAATACAAGATTGTATCTTACAAGTTAATAAATTCACAGAAAAAGTCACTAATTATAAACATTCTATAATTGACTGAACATTTACTAATTTTGATCACTTCATAAGTGTAAAAATTAAATATAATTTTAAAAAAATCATACTGTTTCAGCCGCTAATTCTAGATCAAATATGGTTTCTCATCACCAAAAAACGTTTGTGAGTGTGGGTCTAGTTATCAATCAAGATTAGTCCACACGCACACTCACTGGCACAGCTTCATTTTCGTCCCAATCTGTTCTATCTGAATCAAATTTTATGACATGAATATTAGTAGCATTATCTATCAATGGTATCCTCGTATAATAATTTAGAATGTATGTATGTGTCAATAGCTAAACTCATGACAAATATTGGTTTATGTTATTATCGGTTGGATGATTGTAATAAAGCGGAAGACTAACTTCAACAAAGTCTTACTATTTTACGATATTTCTATGGTAATGGAAAACATTTTCAATTTGCGCTTATATATAACGCGCTTGCTCTAGTTAACTGCGCTCAAGGCGCATTTTATGAGTCCAAATATCTGTGTCAAGAGGCACTCGATCTAGGTTTAGCAAAGTTACCTCCGGATAATATCGATATTGGATTGACATTTGAAATGTTTGGGATTATATACAATGCACAACAGAAGTACGATGAAGCTTTAACCTATTTTCAGCAGGCTGAAACAATTGTTCGAAATATTAGCAATGAATATCCCTTGTTAGTTCGAATTTATCAAGCAATAGGATCTGTCTTATATAATCAAACATTGTATAGCAAAACACTAGAGTATTATACTAAAGCAATGGAACTAATTAGTTCTTAAAATATAGGCAAAAAATCGGGATATCGGAATTCCACCAATTAGATCTTTTGCCAATAGAACTTTTACCACTGGCGAATGTCATATTGGCAAAGTTCTGGTTAGCTGAAAAATCGAAAAGTTATTGACTCACTGAATTATGGAATAAATAGAGTAACAGATAGATTAGTGAGCTAATTATATTTTATGACTTATAACATTTGCTTGATTTTTATAATCATTTTGAAAGAATTTCTCTTCTTCATAATAAACTGTAAAACTATAAACTAAGCTGAATCGTTTAGTACCATATAATTGATACCACTTCAATTTTAAAAAGATAATCTATATAGGAACCATACGGTTGATTCAAACTCTTGCTGGCATAACAAGGATATGAAACTGTTCCGTTTCTGGAATTACAATCATTGTTAATACATGCTCTTTTCCACGTCATCAACTTCCAGCTGTGTTGTATATTATCGATGTTAGATACAATTATTGCGGACACATCCGTTCTCAATATCACACTTACTGGTGCTTGGAGTGAATAAAGCAATTCATAATGCAATACAATATTGGTTGAGAGCTTAGGGGCGACACGATCAAAACAGAGTTCTTGCGCTCTGCTACATTGAGGTAGCCAACGACAAATTGAAATTATCTTGTATATTGGATGTATGGATGTGGATGTTATTCATTATTTACTAGTTACTTAAACCCACATACATACTCACACTCTACACTATGATATTTTATTTTAGTATCTTCAGATAATTTTCTTATTTTAGAAAGTACTTTTAAGAGCATTTTAGTTTTATAAAGTATGGGTGCGGTTGTGGATGAGTGTAAATGTGGGCGTGTGCACTCGTAGTAATATATAATACAATCGCACACATCCACACTAACACATACCCTTAAGTGAATCGATTCTCTTGTTATTAGCACCACCATAGATTCACATTTATATTAACTCATTTTCAGTATCACTCAGTCCTGCAAAAGAAATACTAATAAGATATTCTACTGTTTCGAAGAATAATCTGTATTGTCGTTTTTTTATTCGAATTTTATGATCATCAAATGCGTTGAAGCACAGTTTATTTTCGAATTAAGCTGCTAGTACAATGCATGAAAAAGAGGTTTCTCAATCCTTTTAGCGCCTGAGTTGCGCACTGCCACATCCAAGGACAATTTTGTTAAACTGTGCACTTGAAAAACCGTTCGATCTTGACGGACAGTAGTATCCAACACTAAAAACTCCATTACACATACGAACACAGCAGCCATCACCTGGTGTACTTATCCATCTGTGTGATTTGATGATATAACCAGGCTTAAACGTGCCACGACCCGTGTATATTTTGCGCGTACCGTCAAGAAACGGTTCAGAGAAGGCTTCATAAGAGAAAGTCATTGCAACGCTGATGAGTGTGCCGATGCCCAAGATAAACGTAAGTAGATGCATGCCGATAGTAAAATCTAAATACGGTTGAGTATGCAACAATGAATTCATTTTATGGAACTCACATATAGTTTTGATGAAAACAGGATGCGTAAGTTCTAAATCGGAACTTTTCAGCACTTCCTATGATCACAGCACCTATGGGAAAGAAAAATCAGAGACTATTCGATAAACTTTCTTATAAAATTGAAGAGAACGATAAACAACAAAGAAATAGAAATTATCAAACCGGTTTCCATAACAATGAGATAAAATATTTCAAAAATAATAACACTATAAGTCATTCTAG